CCCCGCTTACTCGGCTGCTGCACCGTAGTGGGCTCCATGGCGTCCTCCTCGTCTACTTCTGACGGATGGCTGAACTGCTCCAGCTCGGCCGATGGCCCATCTCGCCGGCGTGGGCTGCCTGTCGCTTTTCCTACGTGCCTAGAGACCGAACACTCGAGCGGAGCCTCTTGTCCATCACTTTCCGGCACACTGTTCCGTTCCTCGATAGCCGACACATCCCCTTGGTGCGGCCTGCCTGCAGGCCCCGCCTTCTTTCCCCTGGCTGGGATAGACGAGACGAGATGCTCCTCTTCACTTTCCTCCTCTTCAACATCGGCACGTGATTCCAAAGCCTCTGGATTGGCTTTGCGGATTCTGTGCGAACTGTATATATCTTGTTTTTCTCCCAGGTATGCATCTAACGGCAACATTTCCTCTTCGTCTTCTTCGCTTTCTCCGTCATATTCGTCGTCGTCGTTACCGGTCGGACGGGTACGACCTTCCAGTGGCCTATGGGAAGAGCTCCAGGGGGTAGACCGCTCCCCGGAACGTGGCGATGACCACACGTCATCAACGGCCTCTCCTGGTGCCACGTCTACACCCCTCAAGTCATTAACATCTGACGGAATAGCTTCACCCTCCTCATTGTCGCTTTCATTTCTTACCTGTTCCTCAGTCCATGCGGGTTGATTTAAGTGTGCCACGCTCCCAATACCACGTGTGGCTCCCTCCTCAACCACTGCTACTTCGAGAGGCGCCTCTTCTTGTGCACCGCTGCTTTTGGAGTCAACCCCACCGCTGCCACCATCACCGCTCTTGGTGGATACACCAGCGTTTGCGGAGGGTGAGGCAGGTTCCTTTCCTAACCCGTGGGGTTGCAAAAACGGCATGTACTTTCGCTGCAATTTTTCCAGTACGACCGCTGGGTCGTCGTCGGGATGAATCTCATTATCCACATCGGTCTCGACGGTGGGAAGAGCCTCCACAGCGTCACGCTGTGTAAACGAGTTGGATGTGTTGGGGTCAGCATGGCTATGAGATGAGAGTATGACACCCTCTTCTTCGTCAGAATCTTCGGTACCTTCCTGAAACGGCGGCGTTCCACCCGAGCGCGAAAACATATTCACATTGTTCGCACTCGCTTGATCCCTCGCTCGTCGTTCTCTTTCCCGTTCCTCCTCCTCTTCCTCACGCAGTTCTTGAAGCTCAATTTCCCGTATTTCATCCTCTAACAGGATGTCGTCTTCGTAAACCATTTCGTCATACAGCATGTGCAGTTGCGAGGCGTAATCCTTCTCAATCTGCTGCCGGGTGATGCGCTCGCGTGTGAGGATGAGCCGTTGCATGTGGAATCGCATATAATGGCTCCGGTTTTCACGTTC